TAATTCTAATACAACTTTCGTTAAAATTCCCAAAATAATTTTTTTCTATCAGTTTTATCTAAATGCTAATCTAATAATGGTATAGATTATTTTGATTAGAGTTGTATCACTGCATATCATATAAGTTTTAAACACTTCGGATGCTCCAACGGTTGCCGTTACCAAGTTAATATTAAATATTTACAAAAAGAAAAATTATAGCTACAAAATAATATAACACGTGGTTTCCAATGACATTTACTTCATGTCAAGCTCTGGATAATGATGGAAGCATCATTCAAAATTAATACATAAAGTGCATTATGATCGTTTTTTTTACTGCTTCTGCAAAATTTATTACTCGTTTTCCATCAAAATCTTTAATTACTATTGTTTTTTCTAATTACAATTCAAAACATTTTAATAAAATTTTTTTTACTTACCAAGAATTGTAGAAAAATTATGATACGATTAATGATAATTGGAGTACATAGGCTAGCTATTGATGATTTTAATATTGGATAACTTTCAGAAAGCATTCCTATGGATAAAATTCTTTTTGGTATACCCAAGCATTTGTTGTTTGTTAAATTTTCAATAATTATAATATATACATATAATTTATCTCCTCTATTAATGGCAAATCAGGATTTTTTTCATTATTAGAGCCACCTATTTTAATTGACATCTATTAATAAGGTATTGAGATAATAATTACCAAAATAATTATAAAATAGCTTGGGATGAATGTCGCATCATAAAAACATCTTTGAGTAGGCATCAACTTTGCTTTCCAATTTAGTTCAAATTTATTGTATCTAAAATAATCATATCATTAGATTGAAATTCTCTTATTTATTTATATCTTCCACCGAACAAATATATTTTTCTTTATAATCAGTAATACTTAGTACCTTTGAATTAGGTGTTCTCTTGACATTATCCCATTAGCTATTTTAGGAACACTCCATGTATCAAAAGCATAAAACAATTTCATATCTATCCCATCATAATTTCCCACATATAAAAACAACGTATAATTATTAGAATCACGTCTAAAAGATGCAGCAATACGATGCGATGTGCTGAAACAGTATTGATCATGCCATACGACATTTTTAATATTAATGGAACAGAAACGCCATTATAAAATTTGTTTTCCAATAATTTCATTATTAGAGTCTTAGTAACTCGACCAACTAATAAATGAAGTTTATTATCAAATGTAAAACTTATACAATACTTTTCCTAGGGACTAAAAAATTAATTTATTCATATGTTACTTAAAAATGATATAAATTATCAATTTTTGTATAAACTATTTTATTAATACTCCCTTAGGTAAGAATCGTTGAATTGGATTATTATTTATTGTGTTTCTCTTTCATATATCTTCTTTTTATTATATTTATTTTGTTTATATAAATAGAAACTTCCAAATGATAGGAAAAGAGATGGTCCTAAAATTATACAAATAATAGCCAATATTGATAGTTTTGTTGATAGATTTGTTGGAAGTGTAAAATCATTTGTCCATATATATTCTTCATTATTACTAATATCAAGCAATAAAATATCATTATCATCATAAAGACCTATTTTTTCAATATAATTAATTCATAATTACAAATTGAAATTTTATGTATTAATCATGATTCTTGATCCACTTATAATTACCAAATGATACAACCATATATTTTCCAATTACGATTGCTTCATGCCAACGTCTGGGAGCCGGAACTTTTCCAGAAATTTTTGGAATATACCATTCATAATTTATTAAATTTAACACGTAAAGCGAATTTTGAGGTTGAAGATTTACGAGATTATTTGCTCCTCCAAAAATTATTATTTGTCCATCTATACCTTTATTCAGAATAATAATGTAAAAATTTTAATGTCATTTTATAATGGAATAGAATACCTACCAAGAACAACCGAAAATGAATTTCTATCGGAAGGAATTATACCTGAAGTTAACTAACGTGAAATCTCATATAAGACTATTAGAAGTACTTATCTACAGAAAAAAGTAATTTATCTTTGTGCTCCAATTATCATTGATCGTATCATATAGGTAGACCTAAGGTTTCATTTATCGTAAACAAATCTAAATACTATAATTTTTGTAATTCATCTAATAATTTACCTCTTTTAATGATATAGCAAAACCATTAAAGCCACCTAAATAAATTTATAAACAAGGCAATTAATAACAGATTGTAACATAGAATGACTATACAATATTATTTCTTACCCATATAAATAATGAAATGATCGGAGAACAAAGTTGCACCATAAACACTTCTTGGAGAAGGTGCATTAATTGAACTTCCTATTTCCCAATTTAAATTAATTATATCTAAAATAAGCATATCATTTACAGGAATTTTATTCGATTCTCCACCAAACAAATACATTTTACCATAGTAACCAACGATGCCTTTTAAGTTATATTTTCTAATAATACTAACACTAGAAATTTCTGGAGCCCATGAATTACTTCGAGTATCAAATGCATAAACTAAAGACATGGCTTCATCATTATAAGGAATTCCTCCATACAAAAATAAGGTTTTATTATTTGCACCGCCAGCAGCAGCAACATGTGCTGGAACTGTATTAACGTTTTTCAAATCATTCCACAATATATTTTGAGTATTAAATGGAACAGAGAAGTCAATATAAAAAAATTCCGTGCCAATTTTTTATATCACTAGCTTCATTTCCTCCACCTAAAATGTATAATTTATCATCTATCAGTGTAGCTGTATGAAGGCCTCGTTATATCAAATATTCAAAAAAAATATGTCCCTTGACAGCTCACAACTTTCACAACTTGTGAAACATAAACATTTGAAATCGATTTTTGCCGATATAGGTTTTTGAAGGCGGACACAAAAATTTGTTGATTTTCAATGGACTTAGAAACTACACAACTTAAACTATGACGCTGTCCTGTTAAAATGTCTGGAATTAACCTCCTGAATCTTCATTTTTCTCGGAGGATATTCCAGAACCAAAGACCTAAGTTTTATCGATATATAAAAAATTCTTTTTTAATTTTTCGTAAAATTTTTAAATTAGCAACGATTTTTTTTGTAAATCACATAATTATCCGAACCTCTCCCAGCAATAACTTAACTTTACGTACAGCATAAACGAAAATTATAATATTTTTTTTAAAAAAATCTTTTAGAATGTTGCGAATGATTATGAAAGGTGTCGACAAATTTTCAAATTGGCAAGAGTTTGAATTATTTAAACTAAAAATAGCTATCAAAATTTAAGCTCCAGTATTGAATAATGTTTTTATTAATAACAAATTTTTTTAATAAAGTTATACTTTATAGGAATTTAAATAAAATTGTAAAATACTTTCGATTTGATAGATTATTTTCTATGAATTTTTAATTATTGAGATATCTTAAAATTATTAAAGTGAATTAATTTTTTGGGAAGATATTTATTTAAAAATACATTTGTATATTAATAATAAACAAAGTTGACAACTGGAGTTTGCAGTAGAAAGGCGAAACTCAAATTATTTTTTTATTTTAATGTAAAGTTTAGAATTATTTTACTAAAAAAAGATATCGTTTCTGTCTTTTCACTTTTGATAAGAGCTAATGTAGACTCATTTGTCTGCTCAAGGAGTATGAGATGCATCAGGAGCTTTGAAACTGAAGCAGAAGGTATTTTTCATGAAGCAACATTTTTATGTTTTCCTTCCCTTTATACAAAAGCGCTTAAATGACCTTGAAAAACCTCAAATACCCTCGATTTTAATCTTAATTTTTAGTCGAAATGTCAAAGGTCTTTATATTAGAAAAAATATATATAGTAAATGACTTTGTAATTTGCCATCATTGTCATTAACTATCCAAAAATATCTTTTTTATATATAATAAATTGATCTCTGCAATTATATTGCTGAATATTTTTATTCTATTTACTATTTCTTTCTCATCTTGTTTATTTGTTTATCTTCTATTAACTTGTCATATTCATCATATGGGGCCTTGCAATAGAAAGGGATGAAACTGCCGGAAAAATCAAAAATGAGTTAATGCTAAATTTGAACATATTTCAACCTAAAAATCATATTTGTTTTCCCCCTTTCTATTGCAAAGGCACCATATTTCATAATTTACTCATTCTTATCTATAGTTATGTTTTGATGATTAAAAATTAATCTTGTTACTTATATTACATATGCCTTTAGCAAAAGTGTCATCAATTGTTGTGAGTTCATATGTCATTATTACTTAATCGATAAAATCCAAAGTTAAAATTAATGTAGTTTCGCCCAATTGATTCCAAATATAGGTTTCGGATAGTTTCGGATATATGAGGCGAAAATGAAGTTCACTGGACGAAAACTTTCGGATTTGAGAAAATGGTTTCGCCCGAAACACTAGCTAAAATCCAAAACAAAGGTCTCGACTTTTGCTAAAATGATTTTTCCGCAAACTGTTCGTAAAAAATACTTCTCATTCTCATTTATATTGTTATTTTGAGAAATAAGATTAAAAATCACTTTAATCTAAATTCTCCGGTGTGAAAAGAGAAATTTTATACTTGATTTCTTATTTTTATTCTAACATACGTTTAGGAACTTCGAATTCTTGGCCTAGTGTATAATTCTTCTAAACGCCTGCGTTCTCTATGATCATAACACCTTTTTTTTAATACGTTGTCTTAAACAAGTCCAGCGTGATCGAAAAGGCATATCTCGCAATGAGTTCGTATAAATGTGACATTTTATGATGAAATTTGGTCGGATTATAGGCATGTGACCTAATTCTTTATATTAGTATATTTTACAATTTATTGATATATTTATAATTATTTACAGCTCCATTAAATTATTTTTAAGGGAATCATCATTATTTCTTCAGTTAAGCAAAGTTGTTGTATACAATTTTAAAAGGGTAATCACATTAATTTTTAAATAAACATTTTATATTGAATTTCATTATCATCAATAAATATAGTATATTACTTTCGTTTTACATAACTAATTGCGATATTCACTAATATTACTTTTACGTTACAGAATATTATTAGCTATATAAACTAATGATTCCTATGCGTTACGAAATCACAATAGACGATAAACATGATTGCAAAAATATTTTTTAATAAATTTCATGAAAAATGTTTAATTAATTGGAATACTAAAACGAACATTACGTTGAATACACCTAATAATATTTTATAAGAAAATTAAACACTTTACGGTATATAATGATGACTCCAAATGATTTATATCCAATTATAAGTTTACTATTTAGTTGATGAAGCAATAATAATTATTTGATTAATTGTTGGTTTAATGTATTTATACGAATTTACAATTACATATATTTATGGATACTTTTAACCTGTATTCAGAGACTTTAATATTAATTTTATAGTTCTTGTTTTCGGATGGAAGCATATTTAATATTTTAGGATTGATTAAGGAGACGAATCAGATGTTGGTTTTGGGTAAAAAAACATGCAATTGTAATTTTTCAATATACATTAATTAATATGTATGAATAATTATCTCAATTAATACACCAATATCAAGATTTTTCATGTAAGGATTGTTAGATATAATAAGTTATATCACAAATTAATTGCGCACATCATTTCAGGTGTTTAAATATATAAATCTTCCTCATTTATAATGATTTTGAAATGAATTTGTTGTGTACAAAATTAACATCCTCCCCTTAAACGTCAAATTGTTGTATAATTATGATAAGCCAATGTGTTTTATTCTTGTGAAAATTGCATTTTTCGACTAATTTTAGGTATGTATTGTATAATTGGAAGATCGTTGTCAGATTATTCCAAATTTCCTATAGATCATTACACCTTTAACTATAAAATAAAGGCAAGTCTCAATTGCCGATACCTCAAAATAAAAGAAAACTCTTTTTAATAAAATAATGCAAAAAAAGTAATAATGTCATAAGATAATTTTGTAAGATAACATGAACAGGACTGAAAATTGCTAAAATAAATACGGGCTATATAAAGAGTCGCCATTTGTTCATCATCAAAACATCGTCTATAATAATTGCTTACAAGTCAATCGAAATGCTGCGACCAAAAAAATTGGATTCTTTTTTTTTAAAATGTTTTTTACATTTATTTTTAAGAAATTATGGTGATAGCTATATTTATAAAGGTATTTGTAAAAAATATTAAAAAATAAAATATATTTTTTTAATAATAGAGATGGCAAATTTTTTTAATAAGCAAATTTCAACCAACGTGTTCGGTGTCATTTAATTGACTTACCCAAATTTTATAAGTAAATTTCAACCCCGCTTGATCGGTGACAGGAAACCAAAATTTTTTTAGCAGTGAAAAAATTCCAAGTATTCAGAATAAATAGTACAAGAAGGTGTGATGCGAGATGACAAATTATACTTGTCACATGGGTGGAAAATTCTTTGACATTACTAGATAAGATCATTTAAAAATAAAATAAAAACATAGAGTCACTTAGGAGAAATGTTTTGTTAGTAATATTGGGGAGCTAGAATAATCACCGGGAATAATTCTCTTCAAACATATTCTGCTAAGTTACTTTACTGTGGCAAGTAAATTCCTTATCTTCAGACTTTACAACCTTAGGTAATATCACATCCTACAGGTATCTGGAATTCTTAACCTATAAATGAGATGATTATATAGTATTTGTTGTATACTAATCATGATCCTTTACCTATTTGTTTATATTCATAGAAGATCTTTTATTCAAAAAGCTCAATGAACATAATAAAAATTTATACGTTAATGGATAAAATTCACAAAACTATGACTTATACGTGATAAGGACCTGAGTGACCCGTTATTTATTATTGAGGTCAAGCGGGTTGTGATGCGAGAGCAAACTTTAATCCAAAATTTTCAAAGTATATTATGCAGGTTTGGAATGACTACGGAAGTGTTCTAAACTACATGTTGCATTCGCAATTAGCGTTTGCAAACCATATTAAATCCGCAACTGAAAATATTATAATTGACGAACTAATTATGAAAAAAGATATCTGGTAAGTATTACAAAAGTGCAGCCCGTACTTCTTCTGTCATTACTGATCAATTCAATTTCGAACATTCTTTATTATTTTCTATTTGATAGCTATACGTATTCAACCTGGATAAGTCCAATTCCCACCAAAAGAGACTCCGCACAACGATTTTTTTATACCCGAGTAACGGTTAAGAAATTCAACACTTACATCCGTGATCTATCAAACTAAGAATGATTCCTTATCCATGTAATAATTTAGTATATTATAGGTTGATATTGTTTTTTTTAAAAAAATATTAGTGGACATAAAACGTGGCTCCGAGGGATTTACAAATATATTTAGTGTTACAAAGAAATATAATTGTTCTATCGTGTTCTATTAGTTCTAGGGCATTGTGTCCCATTTCTGTTTGGTTTAAATTTAAGTTTTGTTAGTATTTAGTTAGACTTTTGTAGATCGATGGCCCAATTGTCCCCTGGCCAAATTGTCTGCAGGCCAA